GTGTTTGGTACTTGTATTTTCTACACTACAATCGGGGGACTAAAAACTGTCGTATGGACTGATATTTTCCAAATTGGAATTATTTTATTATCTCTCTTTATAATTTGTGTAATCGGTTTAAATACCACTGCAAATTTTTCGTCATTATGGAAAACAGCACTCGATGGTGGAAGACTCGATATTTTGAAGTAAATTTCGTTCGCAAATTCTAAAAAAAATAATTTGGTTTTCAGTTTTAATTTAGATCCCACGCTTCGTGACAGTTTTTGGACATTTATAATTGGTTATACGTTTCATTGGTTGATTAATGTGAACCTTTCGCAATCTGGAGTTCAAAAATATCTAGCATTACCGACATTTCGTGAATGGATTTGGTAAATAAAAATACACAATTCGCGCACTTTTTACAATTATTGTAGAAGAAAGTATTTATTACACCCCTATATAACTGTACTGCATTTTAGGGCAATGGTTTTTTATGTGATAACAATGGAAATAGTGCAAATATTTTGTATTTTATTGGGTCTTTTATTTTATGCACATTATGCAAATTGCGATCCTTTTATTAGTGGGAAAATAGAACGACACGAGCAGTTATTATCATATTACTCTATGGAAATCGCTGGGCATATTCCTGGAGTAAKTGGGTTTACTTTGGTTGGATTATTCTGTGCTACTATGAGGTGAATATAGGGAAAAAATCACTTATCATAGTAATTAAATAAATAATTTTTAATATTTTAGCACTGTATCTTCAAGTCTGAATGCAATCTCTGGCGTCATTTTCAAAGATTTTCTATCGCTATATTGGAAAGGCAATATTAAAGAAAAAACGTCTGGCAGAATTTTAAGATTWWTTGTTGTCATAARTGGTATTTTCAGTATGTTTTTAATACTTGTGTTGCAATATTTGGGAGATGTTCTCCCTCTTGTAGTTACTGTAACCTCTTTGGGATTAGGACCAACGTTAGGTGTATTTTGTTTAGGAGTTCTCTTTCCAAAAGCTAACGCTAAGGTAAAATAATWAAACAAAATCYAAATTACTTTCATAATAACTCTAGGGTGCATTTTACGGTGRTGTTMCGTCATTTATCTTTCAAACTTTCGTGTTTYTTGTCTCAAAAGTGTATCGATACAAAAAAATTATTGTTGATGTTCCTAAAWCSTTTTCTGTGAGTGGATGTTGGACCAATACTTCTTTGGCGACTAACAATACTTTTTACAACAGTTTTATTCAGCCCAACAACGTTACTTCACATTCAGAGTACAAGAWTATTGTAAATTGTGTTACAACTAATAACTATTTTCGTTTTAGATTCAAACCTTTTTTTATATTTAGGTTGTCGCATTATTACAATTCCATATCAGGACTCATCGTTACTCTAATAGTGGGACTAATTATCAGTTATTTAACAAACAAGAACGATCCTCCAGTTGATAAAGAATTATTAAGTCCTGTAATTCGTAGATTTTTGTCAAATGACACTAAATCTGAAATTGACAATCGAGAATTGAAAACTCTTATGGCGAAAGAGTCAAATACTCAGGAAAAATAAATTTGTTAAGGAGCTCTTTAGTCTTCTTCTTCTTATTATTATTATTATACGAGATAAAATTCTTCAATTTTAGTGCCTTGTTATACAAACTTTTTCGGTTAAACACCACATTAGATGTTTTGGGAGTTCTATCTAAAATTTTGTTTATAGCCAAAATCGGTTAAGTCCTACTCAATAATAATATTTTTAAGACGGCGGCACTTTTGGTTACACCGGAAGTGGGCATCAATAGCCTATACAATTATGAAAACTATAAAGCAATTCATTTAKTACATCTACAAAATTCTTGGCTTAATAGTTTTCTACAAAATTTTTAAAGACGGATACAAACGTGTTCCAGCCAAACAGTTCATAAATGTTGTAAAATCTTTATCTTCTACTAATTGTCTTATTTGAGGACCATCAAATACTCCAGCTTTTTAGTTTTCTATTTCTACACTTGGTCCAGAAAATTTACGTAATTTGTATTGAAAATATAAACCAGATTTATCTAATGCTGTTACAAATTGCTTCATTAGTAGCAGTTTAATATGCCGAGGTAGAAAAATATTTTTTTCGCGTGAAACCAAGGGTTCATTAACAACATTCTCCTTTCCATCCCCTAAGTTTTCTCTCAAAAGCCAATTCTTTTGGACCCAATGACTAGATGCTGTCCTTTAAACACATAAAACAAAGATATTTGGTATATTCATTCTACTATCCCAGTAAAAAATTGCCATTTTAAGATCTACACATATCAACTACTGGTAATCATTATTCTTGATTTTTTGAAAAAAAAAAAGAAATTTCGTGGTATTCCTCTTTTATCAAAAGTAGGTACGTACTTTAGACTTCTTCATCAATAAATCCAAACCGTCATTGCAATAAACTAAATTGTTGTCAGCGAAAAAAAGGGTAACAATTCTGTTCTCGGTGTTGATAAAATTTTATGTTAGTTTCTCGGGAAAGACATTTCTTTTCTTTCAACCTCGATGCCAACAGTTCAGCACAGTTCTTTGAAAGATCCAAGTCTCTAATAAGATTACTAAGCTCACTTTGAGGAAACACACCCCGTAAAGTCTATGTCTGAGTCTTCACTTTTTCTATTTATTGCTTCAGCTTCAATAATTTCCTCTTTTTGAAATTGCAATTCAAAGAAAATAGGCACAGGAACGCTATATGAGTGGGTAGTTATGTCTATAGATGTACATGCAACTCTATGTACTTTTTCAAAAAATGTGAAACGAACACAGGAGTAAACAGTACTTCTCCATCAAATTTAACAGAGTTTTTGTGAGTGATAAATGTACAAACAAAATTTTGGTAGATACTGGTGCTTGATCTAAGTATGAGAAACATGGTAATGAAACTAAAAAAATATACAAAAATTGCAAAGATCCAATTTGCAGTGTGTTCTGAGTCTGAGTTCGCAGAAGGGTTATTTTAGAAAGCGAATGCAAAAAAAAAACTATTATCAGTGAATAATTACTCTCATTTACATTTTCATTTTATGACTTTTTATTGAATGCGCATTTTAAATGCGTTTGTTAAAGCGATGTGATTTAAGCAAATAAGCAGCAATAAACTACAAATTTTCAAAACCGTAGATAAGAAAATTAACAACGAAAAGATCAATTTATGTAAATTACAAACCATATGAATTCTAAAACACCTTACATACAGATAAAAAGGTATAATCAACATAGTAAACCATTAAATGTGTCACTATCTAGTTTTAACTTTTCAGGTCTACTGAAAACAAGTCATGTCTAGCTTTTTCTGGTACGACTACCTCATATTTTTCATAGTACTAGCCATTAGTTCTGGTACTGGAATTTACTATGGCTGCTTTGGAAGTAAGCAAAGAACAGTTAAAGAGTACCTTTTGGGCGGCAAAAAAATGACTGCTCTACCAATCGCAATTTCGGTAGCTGTGAGGTACTTACGAATTA